AATAACCTGATTTTTAATCAAGAAAAACTAAAAATGTGCAAATTTCCTTTGACAGGTTGTTTGCAAAAAAGTTGCAATTTCTTTTCGCAAAACTTGTGCAATCCGTTTCCTTATGTCATAGGCTTTCCAAAAAGCTAAATTTTATCAAAATCTAATCCTTCAATCGGCGCTATCAGTAAATGGAAATATTTACTTCTACAGAAACTATAGTGCCTCCGGTCCTAATTTCTTTTTGAAGCCTTGGGTATGACATTTTGAGAGTTGATATAGGTGACTTTTTATTTACGGCAATTCACTCAAATGTATTGTTTATTCTTGAATTAAAGATATCTTGAAAATTGCATTCAATGCATTTATACATTTACTCATAGTATTAGTAAAAGTATTGTTTATTCTTAAATTGAAGATATCTTGAAAATTGCATGCAATGCATTTATACATTTACTCATAGTAGTAAATTTATTGTTTATTCTTGAATTAAAGATATCTTGAAAATTGCATGCAATGCATTTATACATTTACTCTCTCCTCCGAAGCCTTTTATTCAACTGTGGAATATGAAAAGTACAGTTATACTTAACTTGTTATTTTTGATAGTACAATGAATTTGAAATAGTAAATAAGCTGATTTCGCAATCTGCTTACTATTTGCTTTTTAATAATTTATCAAGCTTACGAGAATGCTTAAATGTCGTCTTCTTATTTCACCGTTTGATGGTTCCAACTGTATAAAATTCATTAACAATAAGTGCTTTAAAAAGTGACTCTTGAGATTAGAAAATTATCTTAAAATCTAAATTGAGGTTTTATGAACCTCTCTTCCNTGTAGAACAGGCTCTCTCTCTGTCTTGTAATTCTACACCGACTGCGCGAAACTCCTCTGGGCTTCTGTCTCAGGGTTATTGTGAACAAGTTTCATCCAAATCTTGAAAAGACGATATATAGTGTCATATCTGTTATTTTAATTAATCTATGCCTCTAGTATTCATTAACTTATTTTATAGGGCGAGCGCCAATCTTTTCCACGTTTTGGTGTTTATTGGGCACACATAGAAAAGGCAGACAAGCAAAGTATATTAGCATATTTGTCTTGTACTCCAGTTTTCCTCTTTAAGATCAAATTTCTTAAAGTAACTATGTTCTTTTTTCAATCGTAATCCTATAATTTCTTATTAAAACACTCTAAAATTCTCCAGTTATTTTTAAGTCCTAGATTTGAAAGAAAAACAACAAAAGAAATGCAGTTTCAATAATGTTTCGAAACAAATCTGACATATTTACGAATTGGAAAAATTAGAACTTAACAACAATAAATCACTGTTGAACACAGAGGATTTACTGTTTTTATGAAATTCAAAGCATTATTATTTTTTTAGAATTCGATTATTCTATTTTGAATCTTTTCTAAGGTTAGCCTTTTCAAATAGTTAGAAATAACACTAGAAATGAAAATTATGTTAAAAGCTGCGTATTGTTAAATTGATTTTTATTTCCTGGAAATGCCCAAGTAAGCATGTTATTTTTGACTTTTTGACACTTCAAAATTATATATTTGCATATTTGAAACAAAATTCGACTTCTGAAATACCAAATATAACTCTTAAACATTTGCAATTTTCTATGAAAGAAATAACTAAAAAAATTTGGACAAATTTTTATCTTAAAATCAAAATTAAATATTAAATAAAAACTTATAAGTTTAATGGACTATCGATGAAATTTAAAGACATTGTCCTTTCCTATTTAAAAAAATAAAAAATTCTTATAAATTTCGTGATATGTCTCTGCTACATTAAATCCGCAGGTCATTTTTTATGGAGAAACCATAGTTTTTAATTAGCCAATTTTTAGTTGGAAAAACATGGATATTATAATGATTTTAGCCAAAGTACCCTTGTGCATCGGGAATTTCCCTCTTATAAATAGAGGATGACTTGAAACTGATTCGATGGTTCTGTTAATATTAGAAATATTTTCTCTTTATACAATATTTGTTATTATAATGGAATATCAAAACAAGAAAAAACTAATCTTGATTAAATGTTCGATCTGATCTTTTAGTTTTTAGTTTGTATTTTTACAAAAATAGATTCATAAAAGTTGTGTTTTCAGGTTTAAAAGGAATTATAGATTTGAGAACCATGCAATGCGTTTATANATTCTGAAAGATGGCAAGGCCTGATTTATAACGGTATCTTCAACTTGAAACCTTTGTTTCTTTAAACTGTTTATTTTCATTCGCGGTTTCTCGGCGTAAATTTTGTTGTTTATTAGAAGCAAAGAAGAGAATCAGAGAAATAAACACTATTTGAGCCAGGGAACGACATATCTTAGTCTTACATATTTGTTATTAGAGTAAGGTTTCAAGGGTACCGTTGTAATCGGGCATTGTCATCTTGGCACAGAGGTACACTCAATTTCTCTCTCTTTTGATATCCGTACATTGTTTTCTCCAATGATAAATTGAATTGACCAATGACAGCCTTGTAAATGAATTTTATCCTATGAGAGAAATCCGCAATTTCTAATAAATAAAGAATATGTTGTCTGCCATTTTGTAAATTAATCGGTGAAGAAAAATATTTAATAATACGTTTGAGATTCTTTTTTAACTAATTTTAACTAATGTATTAATAAATAAATGGGTGAGAAATTAAGTGAAGGCCCTTTCAGTCAAGAAAACGAACAAATCTGGCGTTCCTAGAATCAAATTTGTTGATCTAAATATTTAATCTCGAGACTATGTTAGTCTCGAAGAGAGAGGATTAAGCATTAATCTCGATATCCACCATTCTAAAGCTCTGTTTACTCGCTTGAAACTTTTCAATCTCTATACTTGGGGATTAATATCTTAAAGGGACTTATAGAGTGTATTAAATACAGGGTGTCCCACGAAACATGACAGTTAGTGTATAGTTTTGAAAGTCTTCTTCCATTTTAAGTTAGTATATTAAAGAATTTTTGCAATTTATTTTGCTAAAAAAGTCTTTTACTCAATTATATTTTGCTTTGAAATCAACTTTATTATAAAAATACTACCAAGCGATGTTTTTTATTTTTCTCTTTGTTAATAAAGAACTTAACAAATTATGGAAGAAGACATTTAAAACTATTCACCAACTGTCATGTTTCACTTTGATAGGGAAATTATGATTATAAAAGATATATTTGAGGAAAAAGTGAAAATATTTTTATCAGTTTTGTTCAGAGGAAGGTTTTAAGGTTGTAAAAAGGTTTACAAACAATCTAATCAGGCTAATGTCGAAACATTATCTATAGTTCCGACATGAACATGGTAGGGGGTACAGGCTATGCAAACAAGGCAGTGAGGGCGGGGAGCGGGCTTAATTCTTTTTAACGAAGATCTATTTAAATAGAATTCCCTTGTCTGTATATGTTTGTTTGCTTGTTTATTTCTTATCTTGAAATATTGGGTTCAATTTCATATTTCAGTTCAAGTCCAGTTTCGGATGATTTTGTTGATTCTATTATAAGCCACCGAAACTGAGTTTACTGTGAATCAAAGAATTTGGTGTATTCTGAGTACAATACTAATCTTTTAACACATTTAGACTGAGAAAATGCGTTTGACTTTGGGGCAAAATCATTGTTTGTTGTTAAACTAAAAGTTTATGAATTAATATAAAAGTAATGCCAACTCACCCCCAAATCCTCCCATGAAGTCCAAATAAAGCTTTTAAGGAAAACATTATTTTGTAGAGAACGTAGAAAAGTTTTCCTGAAGTTTCTACATTAGAAAACCATTATTGTAATGTAAATATATTCTAGAATCTTTAGTAAAAGTTACCAGTCATCATTAATCTATTCATTAATCAATTTTTTATCATTACTTACTTCCGGTCCCGAGGGGGGGGGTGGGATGGGCATCAGTACAGATATATTATATTTATAGGGATGGGCATCTGTACGGATATATTATATTTATGGGGATGGGCATCAGTACAGATATATTATATTTATAGGGATGGGCATCAGTATAGATATATTATATTTATAGGGATGGGCATCAGTACGGATATATTATATTTACAGGGATGGGCATCAGTTAGATATATTATATTTATAGAGATGGGCATCAGTACGGATATATTATGTTTATAAGGATGGGCATCAGTACAGATATATATATATACCGCTAATTTAATTCTCAACCTCTTAACGGTAAAAAATTTGATGTTAAAAAATAGAGGAAAAAAAGAAGCCCATCATTATACAATATCCAATATTCTTGGCAGTTGCCTTATTCTATAATATAGAATATTCAAGGAGCATCCCAGAAACAAATTATTACATCCCCCCCCCTCTCTCTGTCAAGAAAAAATGTTTTTATTTTGTAGCTAATGACTTTTTGAACAGCTGCCCGATGACTTTTTGAATAGCCGCCTCTTGTAGTATGAATATGAATATATTGTAATCATGAAAGAAAGTCAAAGTTAATATTGTAATATCATGCAAGGGCTTGTATCAGATTATAAAATTGTTATTAAACATATAACAAAAAAGATTGGAAAGCTTAAAAGTAAAATAAATCTGCGTAGCTCAAAATTTGGGTTGAAAAGCAGTTCTTATTTGTTAGAATTACCACTTTCCCCATTTTGACCCTGGGGAAATATTAGCTTTAAAATTTTTGAGAGAGAAAATGAAAACTGGACTTTAACTGGTATTTAATTTTGCCCCCTGTAATAATTTTTCAACCATATTAGAGATGAGCTCAGCGCGGTTTTGAAGAGGATGGGAGAGGGCAGGGGGGTTGGAAGAAAATATTTACCCATGACCTGCTTCTAGATGATTCTGGTGAAACCATGATGATCCGAGGGTGTGCTCTGGACAGCGGTACATTAACAACAGATACAGAAATCATACGGATGTCACATTGCGGGTACTTTTATTTCAATGACAGGTAATTAACTTCAATTTTGAAAGCAAAAATATTTCCTTTAATTAATTTGTTGAATAGTACTTTATGATTACAATTGGGCTGCAGCATTTTATGAACATTTGGGCTTTTCAAGAGGATTCATAATCTATGATAATACATTTAAACTAGGCTTTTCGCGCCCCCCATCCTGTATTCAATTTTAGCTTTAAATGTTGCTCTTGAGAGTTGCCCATTTTAAATCATTTTCAAATTTTGGCGATTTTTTCTTTTTAAAAGGCAAATTTTCTAAAGCAATTCCTACTATTTTCTAGGATTTTTTCTCCAGACAGACAGACGAGCAAAGTATATATATAGAGTTGTATGCTTGAAATATTGGCTTTTCTAATCTAAGGCAAAATATCAACCTTAAAGTAAATAAAACTATGTTTAATAAAGCATTTTATAAATTATTGAAAATTGTCTCAACTTTATAAAATTTGGTTTATTACTTGACAATTCTATAGATATGTGACTGGATGCGTGCAGAGCTGTAACGAGATGGACGGGTGCAATGCCGCAAATTTTCTCAACTGTACCTACACTTTAGTCGTCTTTGCTATAGTAATAACAACCTTTAGAAATGTGTAGCAACCATTATCCATTCAGAAATAAATTGAAAACAAAGTTAGAGAGAGTTAAACTAAGTATGTCAGATCTGAAACTAGATATTTCTTATAGGATTTTTAATTTAAAGAATTATCTAATGCCATTTAAGGAACTTGATAATTGATAATTGATATTTCTGACAAAAGCCTCATATCGAATCATTCTGTTTGATTTTCTTACGTTTAACCACGTTCTTAATATCAAACCTAGAGGAGCTACGAGGTCACAAAGTTGTACCAGTAGTATCGCATAACGAATTATTACATTTTGGGACAAAAATAAATAAATTTGAACTACTTCGCTGATCTACCTATACTGCCGGATCAAATTTGAACCACTAATTTACAGTTAAAAAATGAAGGATTCCAATTCATTAAATTTTGTCTCTCGTCCCTGAAAAGCTAGGTATAACCATACATCACAACCAAAACCAAAATGTTCAATTTACTCGAATTACTTATGACGCAAAATCCAGAAGTTGCTCTTGGGTCATTTGAATCCAATCATTTTTAAACGGTTGAACTTAAAATCCCAAACATTTTTGTGGTACCTCTTATAAAAAGCAAAGATTTTGACTATGAAAAGGGCACGAAACTACATGAATTATAAAAGTTTGTTACTAAAATGTATACTACTAGTTTAAAGTGTTTTTTTTTCTTTTTCATCAAATCAAACTGTATTTTCTGGAGAGAATACGAAAATCTATTTTTTTCCCTTAACAGAATAATTTTCATTTGTATGATTGTTGTAGCGAGGATTACACTAGCTTAATGTGATTATGTCTAGAAAGATGATCAAGTAATTGCATTCTACCATGATTCTACAACAGTCCACAATATATATCTATATGTGTAAAGTTGTAATCTCTGTTTGTTTGTCTGTCTGTCTGTTTGTCCGATCATAGCTCATACAACCTTGGACCAATTGGCCTCAAAGTTTTTATTGTGAAACTATGTTGGAATACGGGAATGTTTTAGCTTAGGTTTGAGATTCTAAATTTAGATTGAATACGAAAACATAGCTAAATTCGTAATTTACGACAAAGCGCGGGTAAACGGTAGGACTAACTATGACTAGTTCCCTAGGTTCCCAATCTGGTATTGTTTATATATGGGTGTATGATTAAAATACTAGCTAAAGAACCCAGCGTTGCCCAGGGTAATAATAGTTACTCCCACCGTTTACAGTTGCTTGGTCGTAAATTACAATTTTTACTATTTTTCCACCATCTCAACTTAGAATCTTAAAACCAAGTTTAGAACATTCCCGTGGTTCTCCCGAGTTCTCCACTCAAAACTTAAGGCAAACAGGTCAAGGGGTTCATGAGTTATGATCAGACATACAAACAAAGAGACAAACAGAAATTACAACTTTATATACAGGTTTTTTAAATGTCACTTTTCAAATTCTAATAACTCCATTATTTTTAAATGTCACTTTTCAAGCGCTAATAACTTCATTTTTTTAAATGTCACTTTTCAAACGCTACAGGGTGTCCCAAAAATTTAGTTTAGTGATACCTACTGAGAAAGCTGTAATCTGTAAGAGTTTCGTCTGCTATGTTCACATTTTGTTTGTTTATGTTTTGACTGCAATAGGTTGTACTTAGTAAAACAAGAAAATTGCAGTATACAAACAGAGTAAACTTGTCCGTATTCACTGTTCATCTTGCGGAGACATTATATAGACACATATTTACAGTCTTTTACCCTTTTCATAAAATAAACTCTAGCAGACATAATAATATTATGGCTTTTGAAATTAGGTATTACAATGCTAATTCATAACAAAGACGATATCGAATTCGTCACTGAATTCCCATGTTTTTTGGGACACCCTGTATTAACTCCATTATTTTTAATGTCACTATACAAATGCTAATAACTCCATTATTTTTAATGTCACTTTTCAAATGCTAATAACTTCATTATTTTTAATGTCACTATTCAAATGCTAGTAACTTCATTATTTTTAAAGATATCTAAGTTCTCTAAAAAGCCTACGAAAGCTGAGATTGGCACTTTTGATAATTTATTGAAAAATAAAAGCAACAAATTTACAAATTTAAGGATTTTTTTAATAAATGTTCGAAATGCCAGCCAGGCCCTCTTGGAAGCAAATTTTGACTATGTATATGAGATTATTAGCGACACAAAGGAAGCATGGTATCTCTTGGAATCTGGGATCCAGAATTCTCAACATTGATCTCCAGCTCATGGTCTGCATTAGATTTCCTCTGATTGAAATCGGCCTTTGTAGCCCCCAGAAGTAAAAATCCAAGGGGTTTATGTTACGCTTTGAATGAATTTGGAGATTTCTCTTTTTATATTTTGCGGATTTTCAAAAAAGATTATCAAAAGTTGCAATCTCATCTATCATTAGCTTTTGAGAGAACTTGACTATTTTCAAAAATTTTGGAGTTATTAACGTTTGAAAATTGACATTAGATAAAGTCTGTGTATTTTACGATGTAATCTTCTGAAAGGCTTATCGATGTCACAATGTTTTACGGAAAAGGCTATTTCCATCTACACTATACTAGTCTTCAACAAGTTTTTGTAATTCTGGTTTTAAATTTTATTTTTAATTGAGAGAGAGAAACTTCTGTCCTTTATATACATACAGAGCCCGCGATTTAAAAAATATGTGAAAATATGGCTCGGGTCTACGCTGTCGTTGGGCTTTATTTAAGGCTTGAGCTTTCGGATTCAAGCTGCATCTTTTTTTCCACAGAGTTGAGTTTAAAAAAACCGGTTTAATATTCTATTTGGCGGATTTTCATAGAAGGAATTGGCGCATTCCGGGTTTTTATGAGAACAAGACTTAACATTGAGCCTTATTCTCCACTAAAACCAACCAAAGTCGGTTTTATTTTCAGCGGGCCTAACTCCTTAAGTCGAGCAGAAGATCTTGCAGCTGTCAATCACGTGACACAATCTGTCGTCAGAGTTGGGTCGAAGATTGGGTCTTAGCTGTTTAAAGAGTTACGACTCGATCCGAAGCTTTTAAATCGCGGGCTTTGGACATTTAACTCTTACAATTTGGTCATATTTATAGACAGAAATATGGTCTTGGCTACATTTATTTTAGGAAATTATCATTCCATGCATATTAACGTTTTGTTTTATACCTAAATTTACTTCTTTTTCTTTTACGTGGGTGTTAAAAACGACCGCCATCTTCTTGAGTGAACAATTGAAGAATAATAACTCTTTAACGAAAAAAGATAACAACGAATTTTCAAAACCGAGTTAGCTCTTTCATGCAAAATTAGTTCTAGCTGACCCGCCTACCCAAAGAATGGTGAAATTGCGCAAGTTCATTTTGCAATTTTCTTAAATATTTTAGCAGATTGTAAAAACTGACGGAGAATTAGCTGTTTGAAAATTGTCAATATTACTAGGACACCCTGTGCAGTAAGGGTAAAATTGATATGTGACTTTTTTTATAAATCAGCTAACCGCCCACCACAGGTTGCAGGGTTTTCACTTAACAAAAAATGTAATAAATAATTTTAAAATCGTCCATATGGTTGCGAGCTGACGATTTAATATCTGAGAAATAAAAATTGAATGAGTTTGAGGTAGACAACCCATCAAAAAAACAAAAAAAGTTTTTTAAAAACCAGATTCAAAGGGCTGTTCAGATTAGAATTCAGCATAACATTTCTACGAAGATTATGTATAGTACATTAAATTTGTCTAAATATTTTTTTTCGGGGCCTTCCGGTGATTTCTTCGATAATAAATCGTCAATTCTGAACCGTATTGACGATTATGATTTTCTTTTGATTGCACTATTATTTTTTTGAAGTGAAAACGCAGCAACTCCTCGGTGATCTGTTGGCCTAGTTCCAATATTGATCACTCTAACTGTACATTGTACAATATAAATTTAAGTTAATAATTAATACGTTAATATTTTTGCACATGAGCCCATGGACGATATAATGAGCGTCGAAAGTGAAAAAGTAGTGTATTAACTTTTATAAAAATTTAGCAGAATATGTGTTGAAGATTTTGAGGTTTAATTGTTTTAATGTTCAAATAACTAAAATTGCATTTGAAGAAGTGTTTGAAGTTGAAATCTTGTGAGAAAGATGGGCACGATTTTCTAAATCTATTTTATTGTAGTTTCAAGTGAACCTATTTTAAAGAGAACCATGGCCGATTCACAACGGTACCCTTAACAAACTTTAAGAATGCATGCGATATCCATAACTTCTATAGCTAACATATATATTACATAAATATATTATGATCGAAGAGCATTATTTTATAGATATTTAAGAATAAATCAGTTAAAGTATTGTAAATCTTTATTTTCATTTTATAGAAATTTAAAACAAAAATAATTAATGACATTCAACAAAATGTAAAAAATTTAAATGATTATTTATTTCTATTTACAAAAGGAGAGTTTTCCTTGTACAAAGATTCAATTTTGAGTTAAAATTGAAAAAAATTACTTGTATACTTTTGTATTAAATAATGTTTTAGATTTTCCCTATTTTTAATATTTTGGTCTCCTTAATAAAAAAAGCATGATACAGTGAGAACCAGAAAACTCTGGAATAGGAAGACGACTTTTAGACTCAAATAATGACTGTGAATAGTCCAATGAACATGAGACACAGCAATTGTGCAGTGTATACAGACCCATTTTACTTGGTAAGTGATTTTTAAGTCTCTCGAAAAACTATTTGCTTTGAAACAACCTCTAATAAACGTATTTATTGCTTTTATGTCGTCTTCCTATTCCACGGTTTTCTGGTTCTCACTATATTCTTCAATGCAACCTCCATTGTATTTACTTCAACGATATTTTCTTAATATTTAAAGGGACTGTTTGCATATTTCAAAATGCTCGAAACGCTTTTAGGGACAAGGGAAATAAATTACTTTCCTTTTTAACGCACAAAGCTGTTCCTGAGTGTTCAAGTAATAAATACTATTTTCAAAAAAGTCAGTCACGTTTTCAAAAAAATCTGCGAAAATCTTTTAAAACGGGGTTCTAAATTTTGTGGCTTGCGTTCACAACAAAACCCTTATATTCTACGCTTATTTAACTGATTTTTATATTATTATATTCTCGCTAGATTTCAGATATTTTTGACTTAGTCCATTTACAGTGTGTACTCTGAAATAAGCGAACAGTCCCTTGAACTGTCCAACAATGATCTCAAAGCATACAAAAATCACAGCTGGAGTTAATCAAAATATGAAGATTTAGCAAATCTTTAAAATATCAAATAATTCTCATTCTTGTCTCATTCTTTCTTAAGCCAGTCAAAAATATCAAATAATTCATTGTTTAAAAAACATAAAAATATGTTAGACATGATTAAATATATGTTTTAGGATGTGGATTCGAAAAAAACTACAATAAAATATTATTGTTTTGTCATATTAAAGAAATGGGAGTTTGAAATACGATCCATCCAATATATGATATTAATATCCATGAAAGGATATCTAATATCCAATATAAGATATCTAATATCCAATATATGATATCTAATATCCAATATATGATATCTAATATCCATGAAAGGATATCTATCTTCCTATATATCAATTTCCTTATACAGAAAGATGAGACATTCAAAAAAATTAAAACTACTGCCATTGCGTAAAAATTTAAACATAAATTTTATAAAAAATATAAAAAACAAGTTGAAATTAAAAAATATATAAATGAACGTAAGTTTATACATATATAAATATATATATATATATACGAGTTTAGTCAGTGTTTTCTTTTAATATGATTTCCATTCATGTACCATGTATTCATGTACCATGTATTCATGTACCATTGTACTGTATTCATGTACCCAGAACCCTGTAGGACCTCAAGGGTTTTCCGGCAAACATTTTGTTTGTAAGAACACACCCAACACCCAACCGCACATGATCACCTAGAAAAAGTTTTTTTTTAATGTATTGAACAGTTTAACCCTTGATAGAAAGTAACTTCAGAGTCACAGAGTCTCCAATCAATGCAATCATTTATTGTAACGGGCCCGTCTATAATAATCGTGATGTTATTCACTTACCCGCCGGTCTAGTGTACACTCAGGGGTGTATTTTTTTTTAGAATTACCAGATATGATTTTTAATGCTTAGGGGGAAAAAACTCAAAAATTAGCAAGTTTTTTTCATTGTTTTTGATACTTTTAACCCAAAAATTCATTTCTTTTCCTCAATTCAGAAAAAAACTTTAAATTTATATTGGGCGCTTCGCGATAACAAATATAATTTTCAAAGGGGGGAGGGATATGACTTTTTGAGAAAATACACACCCGGGACTGTACACAATGTGTAGTAGACCCAGCACCTTTTAAGCACATAATATGCCACGCATTCAATACACTATTATCCGATTCGTTAAACATTCTCTAGAAATGATTTAGCTCCGATTTCCCTGGCTGTGGCTATCTAGGCGAGGAAGTCACAGCAAAATCCCAGCAAGAAAATGTTTAACAAATCCAACTTTTACCTGGAAGATGGATTAGAATAGAAGCTACAGCAGCCTGACCGTCAGCCAACGGTTCAACAGTTACTCCACGGATTCCAAACCTATTCAACACAAACATCAAACAAAACAAAGGGACTGCTAACATTATTTTCAGACACTTTTAATGTCAAGTGTTGCCTGCCCGATTCTCAACAATAATACGTGCGGATTTAACGAGCAGAAACATTGAAGGAGATTGACATAATTCACTTCTTTTCAGTACAGGAAAACAATGATCGCTTTCTTATTTCCAATCCGATAAAGGACCTAACGGACCGGTTCCATTGTTATGATTAAAAGTCCAGTTTACTGTAAACTAGAGGTCATGATTAAAAGTTTAGTAAGAATTAACTTTATAAACATATTTCATCCATTAAATACAGATTTTTCGTATTTACTATGTTATGCTTTTTGTTGGGCTATTTTTCCAATTTTTAAGTAAAAGGTCTCGGGAAGCATTTAGTTGTTGTTAGTTTTACATGAGATATTATTAAAAGAACTGACCCATCCTGCTGCTGACATCCTCGCTCATTCGGCGGCCCTGCTTTGTCCTGGGCTACTTCTAATAAATTTCTTGACACAACTTCTTCGTCATTTTTAACATGTGCTGCATTAGCATCGTCAGGTCCTCTCTCACCACGTTGAGGAACCACATCGTCTTTCTGGTTTTCTCGAGGAGACCTTATTTGGTCTAATTCAGGGTAAACGTGGTAACTCCATTTCTTATGCCGCTTGTCCCTAATAATAAATCTAGATGAAACATAATGTTTAAAATTAAATCAGAATGAATCTTTAACAAAACAAAAAATAATTTATGATATTGAATGAAAATTAATGAAAATGAATATAAATGAAAAAAATGAATGAGAATGAATGAAAATGAATGAACATGAATGAGAATGAATGCAAATGATTGAAAATTAATAAAATGAATAAAATCGACTGAAAATACATGAAAATGAATGAAAATGAATGAAAATGAATGAAAATGAATGAAAATGAATGAAAATGAATTAAAATCATTGAAAATGAATGAACATTAAAGAAAATGAATATATAAGAAAGTAATTTGAATGAAAAAAAATTGTTATTTGTATATATAATTTATCAGTATTATCTACATAAAAGGCAGTAATTATATGATCATTAATTAAAAAGGCTAATTAATTAATTATGATATTTCTAATTCCCAAGCTGTGAATAACTAGGGAGATATCCCCCCCCCCCCCCCCCCCCCCTCCCCCTTAAAAAAGCCTTACCCCCTCCCCCCCAATTAGTTAGGCAAGTAAATAAATTTGAGCGTTGAGAGATATATAAAAAAGGTTTATATTTTTTTTCATTAATTATGATATTTCTAATTCCCAAGCTGTGAATAACTAGGGAGATATCCCCCCCCCCTCCACCCTCCCTGCCTCTTAAAAAAGCCTTACCCCCTCCCACAATTAATTAGGCAAGTAAATAAATTTTAGGGTTAAGAGATATATAAAAAAGGGGACTTTCCAGTTGATAATTTCTTTTTTCATTTCCCCCAAAATAATAAATAAACGTGATCTTTCTCATGAAAATTTACCTGAGTGGGGGAAGGGTTTTTTCAATAGACCGGAAACACAGTGGTTCACACTCCAAGACCAAATTCTAAACAAAAACATTTAGTTTTTAAATACCTATATCTTTGCAACCCAATGTTGTAGACCCTTGTTTTTTCACCCTAGTTTAGTTGATCCGAGATATAAAATATCGAAGGTAAATGACAATGGGTTTCAAAGATATAGAGATTAAACAATTTTTACTTTATTCTACCGATTGACAACATTTCTTAACGCTTAACACTTCAGTGTCACGATATATTAACTATGAATTCTGTCATATCGAATATTTAAAGTTTTACATACTAAAAGGAAAATTTGAGTTTATGGCAAAGACTATTTTAATAAAATCTGAAAGGTCTGATTACTCTCCTCATACTCTAATTTTCTAATCTTTGTAATTCTTGTAACCTAGCTCATGTTTGATCAAACAATGAATATTGCTGGATCGTGGAGTCAAAGTTGAAATAAAAAAGTTTTACACCAACCGGTTGAAAAGATTTAGGAATTTAATTTTTGAGTTTTATGCGAGTAATTACTAATTAGTTCCTAGGTATGAGTTCATTATTATCTTAAATACATGATCCAAAAATATCTGTTTTGAAACTTAGTTCTGAGATGGAAAACTTTGCGTTGGATATCCATCCCGATTGCTTGATCAATAGTGGGCATTTTTAAAACTGTCCTCAGAATCTGCTTCAACTCTAGATTTGGATATCCGCAATTTCACTGTTCTCCCATTGGTTGAACAGAAAATTCCCTGGCTTCTCATTAGCGTTTGTTTTCCACAAAAACACTCATCACGGGATATGAGAAAAATAAATTAATCTGAAGATAAACAATAGATTGAGATCAAACATTGTTGATATCTATATTGTTGATATCTATATTGTTGATATCTATATTGTTAATATCTATATTGTTGATATCTATATTGTTGATATCTATATCAACAATACAAGATTTCCCACCGTAGCTATGGTCAATTATATATACTGTACTGCTTGTACTGAAGTTTACCTGCACTGCAAATGTATATACTGCACTGCTTGTACTGAAATTTACCTGTACTGCAAAGGGTCTTCTCGCCATCAGGGTCAACTCTAACACCTGAAGAAACCCAATATTAGATTAAAGGGAGTGTTCGCGGTTCAGATTTTTTAGAAGTAAAAAAGTTCTTTTTACATTTTTGGGATTAGTGTAGACATAAATCAGATTTTCTTTGCAGAACCTTTAGATACAAATTAATGTTAAATAAGAAATATTCCATTTTCCCTTTAAACTATGTGTGCAATCTTTCAAAGACAGAAAAGCGTCTTTTAAACAATTTTCACAAAATTAAATTTTGTCATTCACAATATGTTTGGTAAAAATCTCTTGAATAAGAACAATCCAGATTGTTCGATAATCTGTATTTTTCAAGGAATTGAGTTTTTGCCACACCCCCCTCTGATTTTCTAGTCCCAATATCTCTGCAACCCAATATTTCAAATTACGAACTCTGTTAGATAAAACAATTAAAGTTTAAAATATCAAAGTTTAACTGCATCAACATGCAAAGATAAAGAGATCAGATTCTTTAGATCTATTGACCTAATATCAGTTTTTAGGTCCAGGATCGACTGATTGATTAAAACTTTGAGCTTGTAAAAATTAATTCATTTTTGAATTTCCAAGTTAATTAAATACAAAAATGTATAAAAATAGTTCTATATCTAGACTGCTGAAGAGTAGTTGATGATCGACAAAAATGAAAATTTTCATCAGATTTATCCGATATGTTTCTGTAAAGTGTTAGCTCAATTTCTAATTGCATATTAGGGTCAGTAGAGAAAGGACACCACTTGTACTTTAAGAAAGACTAACCTTGTCGAAAAGATGACTGAAAATCGACAAATAAAAAATCCAAACCTGTCGCTGTCGAACCCTTCTAATGTCAGTTAGCTGTTTAAACTTCCAGAAAACTACACAAACTAAAAAAAATTTTATAATAAATTTATGTAGTTTTATTTATTTTTGTTCTCGAATTCGATTCGAGAAGAGGTCTGTAAGTCATGACCCCCCTAGGGAGAGGTCTGCTATAACCCCCCAGTCCGAAGAGAGGTCTTCGAGTACTTTACAAAAAGGGAGATAGGGTTCGGCACCATTTACTTTTGAGAAATTACAAATACATTGACAATGCAATTGTTCACAAATAAGATGGTTGAAAACTTGTAAAGAGAATGGAGGGGGGGGGGGCCCAGCTCCAAGGATACAACCTTGCTTCCGTTGATGATACATTTAATTAAAGGAAACCGATCTGGTCTCTGAACTCTCAGGGTCTCCATCATTTGATAATACAACAGATTTCATTATTCAAAGCAACTGAGTATACTCGCCTCAAACTCTTATTTTTAAAATCCAGAAATCAGGGGTGCCCACAGCCCATGAACATTTTCCAGATGTGCAAATGCACATTGAATACAGTTCAAGTGTTTAACCCTTTAAGAAATCCTTCTCATTCACAAAAATATGTTTCTCTCTAAAAAGGAATTGAGTTTTTGCCACAAACTTTGATTTGTTCAACTCCGAAATCTTTGCAAACTGATTGTGTAAAGCTTTGATATTTCAAACTTAGACTATTTGATTGAACAGAATTTATAGTTTGAAATATCTAAGGTCTACGGCTTTGGAATGCAAAGAAATCAGGATTAGGAAATCATAGTTTGTGGCAAAAGCTCAATTCCTCAGCTAATATCCCCCTAACCCTTCCATTCCATTTCCAACAGGAACAGGAACAGGAACAGTCCTTTTAAATGTTCCTACCTGGCAAAAACAGATTCTTTAAAATTTGAATGATCCTACCGGCAGTAACAGATTCTTTAAAATTTAAATGTTACTATCTGCCAGTAACAATCCTTTAAAATGGTCCTACCTACATGGAACAGTCCCTATAATCTTCCTCTCTGTCAGGAACAGTCCCCTTAAATTTTTCTATTCTACCTGACATGAACAGTCCCTTCAAATGTTCCTACCTGCCAGGAACAATTACTTTTTTGTTCATACCTGCCAGGAACCAGTTACTTTAAATTTTCATACCTGCCAGGCACAGTCCCTTTATTGTTCCTACCTGCCAGAAACAGGAAAAAACAGGAGAAGAAAACAGAGAAGAAAACGAACAGGTCAATGTGCAGCTGATCCTAAATCAATCAATCAATCAATTAATTAATCAATTAATCAATCATCCAATCAAATAAAAAAATCTTAGTAAAAAATTGAACAAGGAGTGCTACTTTTTAAACCAAAACACAAATTTTTTTTCTTAAATTCGTTTTTTGAAACTTGGAAAATACTTTGATATTTTTTGATTTTTTTAGAAGTTTTCTTTTACAACTAACTTAGTGATTTTTACTTAAATCAAATGAACCAAAATTAACTAAAAATAAAAAATAAAAATTGAGCAAAGCGTAATACTTTTCAACTAATACACCAAAATAAATAAAACTTAAGTGACAATGAAAAATACAAATTTTAAACAAAGAGAAATATTTTTACTAAGTTTTTTTTAATAATTGTCCGCGAGCACCATTTCATGATATCTTGTAAATTATTTAAACAATCTTAATTCTTAACAAGCAAAAAATCATAGAAAAAAGTTATGAAATAGAATCTTTAACAATAAGTTATATTGTTTTAAAAATATTTTGGAAGAAAGTCAACATAATGTACATGTATGGTCAAGCTTAAGAGCAAAGTTCAAGTCAAGCAAAGGTCAAGGTCAATGTAAAGGTCAAAACAAGGTCATGGTCAAGAACAAGAAAAAGGTCGATGTTGCCATAAACACCTAAACACCTAAACATATTTTTGAGATCCTGTAAATTATGAAAAATAAATAAAATGGAATCTTGAAGAATAGAGAAAAATGGATGTTTGCTGTCAGAATGTAAAGAATAGTATTTATCATTTTAAGTGTGAAGGGGGGGGGGA